TCCTAGCTAAGACTGTTTTAGATCAGCTTCCAGTGAAACCAGTCAAGATCAAAAGAGGCACTTAACCAGTCTCTGACTGACCTATAGACTCATGAGAAATAATAAGTGATTGCTGTTTTCAGCTTCCAAGGTTTTGGATAGTTTATTATACAGTAAGAACTAACTGATATATAACTTATAATTCTCTGATGAAATTATTTTATTTGGTGTCTTTTTTTAAATTGATTTCAGAGATGAAGGGAGAGGGAGAGAGAGAGAGAGAAACATCAATGATGAGAGAGAATCATTGATCAGCTGCCTCCTGCACACTCCATACTGGGGATCGAGCCTGCAACACAGGCATGTGCCCTAACCGGGAAGTGAACCATGAACTCCTGGTTCATAGATCAACGCTCAACCACTGAGCCATGCCGGCTAGGCTATTTGGTGGCATTTTTATTAGTTTTTCTATTTAGTAATTGCAGTATCTCATCTAATATTTTGTGTGCCACAGTGAAAAGAATATTCAGTAAGAGACAAAAGATGCAGGTTTCCTAATGTCATAATAAACGTTTATTCATTCACTTATGTGCCCAGTATTAGAAATACAAAAAAATCCCCAAACATATGCTCATGAAATCAATCATAGTTTAGTGAGAAACATAGACATGAGCAAGATATTTTCATCTGTCATTGACTAAAACATTAATGCATGACTATAATGGGGGTGTGGTAAGGGCGCTGGGTAGAGGGGTAGTCACTGTAGAGGAGATATTTTAAAAAAACACCAAAATTTGCAAATCTACTTGACTTTAGAATCTTTGTCTATATTTCAAGGAACAAAGGATAGATTCCTATTAGGATATCTTCTATCCCTGAAATACGGCATTCTTGAATTATTATCTAGCATAAGGCATGTAGTGAGTTCCTCTAAATACAGCGTTTTATCATTTAAGTGGTTTCCAAAGTTGTTCTAAAGAAGTTAATTCGCATCCATCATTATGTGTGACAGCAGAGGCAAGCTCGGTAAGATTATCCCACAGGATAGTCTGGTCCTCCATTAACAGTATTGACAATGAAAAGAATCTGTAACATAAAGACTCAAATCTTAGGTATGTCTTGTGCTTGAATATAGTAGCCGATGCCCCGTTCAATAAAATGACTAAACACAATAGACACATCCCTATTTTCTCTAGTTTTAAGCAAAGTTACTAAACTCATTCTTTTTTGCTATTTTTGTATTCGTGATTACAAGATGCTGTCCTCTGCAGTTTGCTAAAGATTACACCAGGTAGAGCACACAGCAAAGTGACATGATAGTTCTGTTTCCCCACCCAAATGCCTACAAATCAGACAGGAGAGCAAACAGAATTCTGTGCGTTCATAGCACCAACCTGCCAGGTTCACACTGCACCCCTCTTCTCCGGCGTCATCCTGTCTCAATGGCATTTGTCCCGTTCCTTGCTTTTTAGTAATTGCATGGACTAATTGGAAGTGTGACAATGTGATCAATTCATTGCTTATTGGGCAATTATTATTTCTACCCTGTTGTTGTTGACAGTACCTGACTTCTACGGAATCAATATATTTATGTTGCTATTTAACAACGAAGTAGCTTGCATGTGTTTTTGTATGACAGTTAGCTTGTTTACTACTTACTGCAGTTCTCTTTGAGTAAGGGCATTCGGTGACAGATGTGACAATTCCATTCCCCCACAGGGTTACAAACTCACCTCTGGGATTCAGAGCTGATAAAGGCAGCCTGCCTGCTCATGGCTGTTTTACATGTATGCCCTTGTTCCTCAAAACCAGCAAAATTGGAAGAATTGGAATGGAGTAGATCTGGATTCAAAACTTATCGACGTCATTTACCAAATACTTGGCTTTAGATTCACTTGTCCTGTCTTTAAAATCTCTCAGGGGGGCTGTCTTGCATTTTAGATAAAGTGATGTAAATGAGAAGTCAGCAAAAAGACCTATCCAGACGGATGCCCAATAATCACAGATTGAGCCTGAAAATAAAAGCTGGATAACTAGTGCAAGGTCCTACGGTGTGAATGGGTAGCTGAGGTGAGAAGACAAATGGCAGCTGCTGAATGGGAAGGCAAACTGGAAGGGGAAGCCTTTTCTTTTTCCTTTTGGCTAAATAGCACTGCTCCTTCCCTGCTGCTCCGTGTGATAGACTAATTCATTATGAAAGGCTTTCAAGATGTCTCGTAGGTAGCTAATCATCAGCGTTGAAAAACAAATCATTGCTCTTTCCCCTGCTGTTAAAGCCCCTAGAAAGAAACATTTCATTTCCAGTGGCTTCTAGCTGACCTCAGAACCAGAGCGTAGGTGCCTCTGAAGCTGCTAGAGCAGCTAGTGCATGCGCTTTTTAATAGTGTATTCATTTTTTAAAATATATTTTATTGATTTTTTACAGAGAGGAAGGGAGAGGGATAGAGAGAAACATCGATGGGAGAGAAATATCAATCAGCTGCCTCCTGCACACCTCCTCTTGGGGATGTGCACGCAAACAAGGTACATGCCCTTGACTGGAATCAAATCTGGGACCCTTCAGTCCACAGGCCAATGCTCCATCCACTGAGCCAAACCGGTTAGGGCAATAGTGTGTTCATTGATAAATTGTAATCAGCATACATGACACAAAAACTTCAAAAGGCAAATTAAAGTTATAGTCAACTGCCCACTAGTGTTTTAAATCAATCAATACAGCATTCATTTTAAAACAGAAGCAAGGACATTACCCCTCAACAAATTCACATATTCATGTAATTTGTAACTACATCGAGGCTCTCCAAATAGATGGAGAGATGGCCATAAAACAAAAGCTCTGTGTCAAGAAAGGTGTTCCTCTTGCAGGTGCTGACCTCTGAAATACATCAGCATGTGCATCATACCCAAAGAATGTGTAGATATAATTCTTTTTCTTTTTTAAATCTTTAAGTGAGGAAACATGCTTGTACTATAATGGGAACAGGAAAGAAGAAAAAGAACATTTGGTGTGAACTTGGATATGACTCTGATGTTGCCTTAGTAAATTGTTCTCCTTTTTGTCGAATGCCACTCCTCATTATGATCTGTCACAGAAAGACTCAAATGTTACGTATTGTGCTTGAAGAGAGTCACCTACAGCCTCTTTGAAACTGTTTTTAGACCAAGTACATACACCGATCTCTGACAAGTAAAACAAAAACAAAACAAAAAGAAACTGGTCACAGAGGTCATTAATTGTACAGCTTGAAAAAGAGAAATATTTATCTGCTTTCCTCCCCAACATGCATAATATTTTATCGTTGGAATTATCATTCCCCATGTTATCCTTTCATATCTCAAGGTTACATATCTGAATGACATAAAATGAGTAATCATAGCTTACAGAAAGGGCCTTAGGACAATTGCATAGCAGAGAAAGAAACCAGCATACATACATTATTCATAATATTATTTTGTAGGGCCCCTCCACCTAAGAAGACCCAGTGAAATTGAAATGTGCCCCCCACCCCCATGACTTGTTGGAGAGGCCCACAGCCAGGAGCCAGGGATGCTGCAATTGAGTTGTCAAACTGCCCTGATGTCTTGTACAAGCTGAACAGGCCAATTTACTGCAAGGCTGCATGGGCTGAAGGCTCCTAGCCTGTCTTTCCAGGGTTTCCTCCTGCTGAGGTTATCCTGCTGGACAGCAGGCTCCCTCCCTTGCAGCTTCCAGCTGCCCCTAGAGTCCTCCTGACCAGCTTACCCCAGGTAATAACAATGGGTACTGGGTTATCCTTACCTGTGACCCGCCTGCTGGGCCAGGGAGGGCAGAGGCCCCTGCCCTGCAGTGGGAGAGCAGCAGCTTTGTGTGGTGTGCTTGGTGAGAGTTTTGAATTGCGGTGGCAATTTGATTTCATTGTCTCCCCCATAGTAGCTCCAGCTCCTGGTTTGCAGGATGAAAATAGGCAGGCTTTTAGGGAAAAAAAAAAAAAAAAAAAAAAAAAAAGACAACTTCTCCCACACAGCCCCTGAGTTTCTCTGCCAATTACTAACTCGGGAGCATGGGGGTTGCTTCGAAACGCAGCAGTTCTGGCTCTGCCCTCTAGGTGGCAGCGGTGCCCCACCGCAGAGGCGCCAAGGCCCTCTTCCCCGACTTGAAGTGTTAATGCAATTGACCAATCAGTGCTAAGATGATGGGAGGTAATTGGGTAATTGTATTTTACTGATCACAGAAGAGAGAGGGGAAGGGAAAGGGGAAGGAAAGGGGGTGCAGTCCGAGAGGCGATTTGGGGGAGCTGGGACCCTGAACGTTTGGACGTGGCATTGGCCGAGGGAAAGCCTAGACTCGAGCTGCTGGCGGCACCGCGTTTATTTATTTGGGGGAAAAGAGGAGAGAGGAGCAGGAGGGGAAGGAAGAGAGTTCCAGTCGAAGTGGATGGACGGGGACCGGGGTT